TGTATTCCTTCCATCTTTTCTTGATGCATTCTGCATCATTCAATAATTTGCCCACTGGGCAAATTATTGAATTATTATTGACCTAATTTAGATCCTGGAATTCTGGATGTGATGCTGATGCTATAAATCGGATGAAACTTTGGGCAAAGGTGAGTGTAGTTTGCATGTTGGGTGGTCCTGAATCATTGATGACCAGGGAGTAGACTGTTTTGTCCAACCTTCAAGATGGTCCCAAGTGATTGCCACCTCTTGATATTCTTGCCTTGTGTATTCCTTCCTGTTGAGGGTTTATTAGACTTTGTGATGCTCTTAGTGTGAATAGAATGTAGAATACGGCAGAAGTGATGTGTTGGAAGAACAGGATGTGTGTGAAACCCACTCTGAGGCAGTTCTCAAACCAAGGAATGCCTTGGTGAGAACCTCAAGGAAAACCTTGCATGCCAAAGATTATGGGAGCATAACACACTGACCAGGTGGCTGGGGGAGGGATCTAAAATGAGAAAATATGTGTGCCAAACTGCTATCTAGTAATAATAAACCTTAACTTTGTTGTGATGTCTAGATACACCTCCTGCCTAAGACTGTACTGAAAGCTGTATTGTAATTAATAAAGTCACTCTTAACTGACCATCTCGAGCCCCATTCCTTTCATTCTCCGCCCACCTCCGAGACCCCCTCATGTAGGCTGGTCCTGCAGTGATGGTGTGACTTGGAGATTAAATCATAAAAGCTATTGTGACATCCCTTTCTCTCACATCCACTTGTTCCAGGGAAAGTCAGCTGCCTTGTTGTAAGCATCCTTCTAGAAACTTCCAGATGTCAAGGAATGGGCTTCCACCAAGAGCTATGAGGAACCACCTCTTTCCTACAACCGCATACATGAGCAGTGTCGGAAGTGGATTCTCACAAACTGGGATATGATTGCAGCCCCACTACAATCTCGTGAGAGACCCTGTGCCACCTGGTCACTCCATAAATTAGAGGAAACAGTAAATGCTGTTTTAAGTTGTCACTTTCTGGGGTCATTTGTTATGCAGCAATAGAGAACTAGTATGTCACTGAAGGACTATGTTGCAATTTACCACCACTTGTCTATCAGTTTGTCTTACTGTGGTGGCTTGTGAGTTGCTGTGATTCTGAAAGCTATGACACTGGTATTTTAAATGCCAGCAGGGTCACCCATGGTAGACAGGTTTCAGATGAGCTTCCAGACTAAGACAGATTAGGGAGAAGGAAGGGTGGACCACTTCAGAATGGTTAGTCACTGAAAACCTTATGAATAGCAGTGGTGCAGATAGCACCAGAATATTGAATTTGGATCCTGATGAAGAGCACCAGAATATTTATAGGACCTATTAATAGCATCATGATAAACAGAGAAAAGATTGAAGGTGTCAAAGATTTCATTTTGTCTAGATCCACCATCAATATTCATGGAAGCATCAGTCAAGAAATCAAACAACGTATTGTATTAGGCAAATCTGCTGCACAAGACCTCTTTAAAGTGTAAAGAACAAAGGTATCACTTTAACGACTAAAGGTGTGCCTGACCCAAGCCATAGTTGTCGGGGTGGGCCCTTGACATAGTTGTGTTGCTCACGAGTGTTTGGTTCACGAGGAGGGGAGATCCAGCGGCGATAGGGATAGTGAAAGAATAC